CTGAACAGTACACTTGTCATAGGGTCATCTGAGAGTGCTGCCTCGGCCTAGCTTATTTAGAGTCCTGCCTGTGGTGCAAGATAAGTCTCAGGACTACAAAGCCCACATGGTTTTATTTCAGTAATAGAGAAGGGGCACAAAGGCATCTTATGTGGGCAGACTTGTAAGAGGGAGTGTTGTAGCATGGCTAGCTGAGTTTGGACTCACTCAGCCCACTTTAGCATGTGCAAACTCCTGATTGCTCTCTGTCCAGGCTTACACGTGTGTTTTCGAACCCGTGTTTGCTGACATCCCTATCTTCAAAAAGGGCAAAAAAAGAGAGAGGAACCTGGGAACAACAGGCCAGTCAGCCTGACATCAATCCCAGGCCAGATTCTGGAACAGACCGTAAAGTGGTCATTGGACAAGCATCTAGAAAACAATGCACTAATATCTAGCAGCCAACATGGATTTGTCAAGAACAAATCCTGCCAAACTCATTTTTTGATCAGGTCACCTCCCTGATAGACAGAGGGAATGCTGTAGATGTAGTATATCTTGACTTCAGCAAAGCTTTTGACAAAATGCCCCGTGATATCATGATTAGCAAACTAACTAGGTGTGGGCTGGATAGATCGAGTGTCAGGTAGATTCACAATTGGCTACAGAATGTACTCAGAGGATGATGATTAATGGGTCCTTCTCTAACTGGGAGGAGGTAACAAGTGGGGTGCCCAGTGCTCAGTCCTGGGCCCAGTGCCCTTCAATATTTTATTTAATGACTTGAATGAGGGAGCGGAGGGAATGCTTGTCAAATTTGCAGATGATACCAAATTGGGCAGAATAGCTAATACCCTTGAAGACAGAAATAAAATTCAAAATGACCTTGGTAGGATGGAGCACTGGGCAGAGAACAGAATGAAATTCAACATGGAGAAGTGCAAAGCACTGTACCTCAGAAAAGGAAACCAATTGCACATTTACAAGTTGGGGGATACCTGGCTCAGCAAAACTACGAGTGAGAAGGATTTTGGAATTGTTGTAGATCACAAGCTATATATGAGCCAAGAGAATGATGTGGCTACAAAAAAGGCAAATGCGATTTTAGGCTGCATTAATAGAAGTATAGTTTCCAAATCCCACAAGGTTCCCCTCTATTCAGCACTGATTAGGCCTCACCTTGAGTATCGTGTCCAGTTCTGGACACCACACTTCAAGAAGGATGCAAGTTCAGAGGAGGGCAACAAGGATGATCAGGGGATTGGAAACCAAGCCTTATGAGGAAAGCCTGAAAGAATTGGGCATGTTTAGCCTGGAGAAAATAAAACAGAGGGGTGATATGATAGCAGTTTTCAAATATTTGAAAGGCTGTCATACAGAGGTGGGGCAGGATCTCTTTCTCAATTATCCCAGAGTACAGGACACACAACAATAGGCTCAAGTTAAAGGAAGCCAGATTTTGGTTGAATATCAGGAAAAACTTCCCAACTGTTAGAGCAGCATGGCAATGCAACCAGCTACCTCAGGAGTTGTTGAATGCTTCAACACTGGAAGCATTCAAGAAAAACTTAGATAACCACCTGGCTGATATGCTTTGATTGTATTCCTGCATTGAGCAGGGGTTGGGACTTGATGGCCTTGTAGGCCTCTTCCAACTTCACTTTTCCATGATTCTATGATTCTTTCCTTCCCCATTTGTTTAACTATGGGGTAAGCGGTTCTTTCCCTCTAATTGTCATTTGGACTGTCTGAGTTGAGGTCTTCCGTTTGACATTGACTACTGCTGACACAGTGTTACATTTAGCACTGACCTAGGGTTGCCAGATGTCAGGCAAAAGGAGGACATGTCCTCCTTTTTAGCCTAATGTCCTCCGTCAGGCAGGCAAAGGTAAAAGCCTTTAAAACGTCAGGCTTTTGTATATTTTATGTTATAATTTTGGATGGAAGGGGGAGAGGTGGAAGGACTCCCTTCCCCCTGGCTTTCCCTGCCCCCACCTGCCTGCCCACCCCCGGTTTTTTGAAAAAAAGCCTCAATTGAATTTATTTTTAATTTTTAACATGCTTTTTTCTTGGTCGGTTCACTAAGAGACATTTATTGGCAGCTATTGTAATAAAATTGTATTGGTTGTGGGTTAATCTGAAATGATTTAAATGAAACATTCAATATGTCCTCCTTTGTCCTCCTTTTTGTCTTTCTATGCCCTCCTTTTAGTACCCATGTATCTGGCAACCCTATACTGACCAGAAAGAAAGAATATTGTGAAAGTCCCTCTACCTTCTTTCTCTCTCTCCTGTATCACACTGAAAAGTGAATACCTGCAAGACTTTTGCAGAACTTGGAGGTAGATGGCACCGAACCCTGAAAAGTCATGTGCCTGCAATTGGACACCTATGAATACCCTCCCTATGGACCATCATCTTGTCAGGTCCATGGTGATGTATCAGCTACCACCACCAGTTTTGAGTTTCTCCATTCAAATGAATGGGAACATTAGAGCATTGGATTTCCAATTGCAATTTGAATTCATGATCTGGATCATATCAGGTTGGATCTGCATCACTTGAAATCAAATTAAGAACCATAATCCTAAATATTTAATAGCATCCAATTTGTAAACACTCTCAGTTTAGGAGACAATAAAATATTTACATCCATTAAAAAAAATCAGGTGGAAAAGCAAATTATTTCAAAGTTGCAAAGACAATCTGCCAATCAGTTCTGCCAAGTGCTTTTTGAACATCAAGAGAAATGATGGAAGGGTAGGTCTTCTAATGATTAATCCAATCAAATTTGTGACCAAACTGAAGTTATCTGCTCACCGCCTGTATTGAATAAAACCAACATGATCTGGATGAGTCAGTGTTGCTATTACATTCTGTAATCTATTAGCCAATTTTGCAGCAAGTATTTTAACATCAACATTTAGTAATAAAATAAGTCAATAGTTTGCACAGTATGACCTCTGAAACTCCAAATCAATATCTTTTAATGTAATACAGAGATTATGTGCCCTTAATCAATGAAATATCCTTACAATTTTTGTGTTGTTTTAACCTATTTACTAACAATATAACACAGCTGGAATGCAGTCCAGAACCAAAATGCCAGATCAGCATTCAAAACAAACCAGGGAACCCATAGTAAAGAAAGATCTGAGTTGACTACTCATCCTCTGTCTGGGAAGTTTCTTGGACTATCTTTTAAACCTGCATATAATTATATTGCTTCTCCATCTTTCTTAATTCATTCAAATGTCAAGTTATTAGAGCCCTCATCAAATTTAAATCAATTCTTTCTTTTGATAGTGCAATTCACACTCATAAATGAGGGAAGTGCCATATGATCAGCAGCAGACTTGGAAGTCTTGTCTTCCTTTTTACTAGAGTTAATGTTGTCATTGTTGTTGTTTAGTCATTAAGTTGTGTCTGACTCTTTGTTAATGTAGAAGGTTTTATTTCAGCACTGACCATGCGAATTTTAATTCTAAATACTAATGCTACTCTGTTGATTGACTCGAGTAAACAAGTATGAGCTTGATCTTAGCATTTTTATGTAATGGAGATTAGGTTTGCCAGTATAGTAAGATCCTCATTTCTGCAAGATCACAATCCATGGTTTCACTTATTCACAGTCTGAAAATATAAAAAATAATAAAAGAAAAAAAACCAGAAATGTGTACTTGATATAATTGCCAGAACTGGCTACTAGAGGAAACCAGAGATAATGCTATATAAAATGTTTGCTCTTAAGCCATGGTTTTTGGCATCGGGGGTGGGTGGGCTTGGAACTGATCCCCTGCAGATACTGTCTGCTGTCTTTTGCAGTTAAACATTATCTCCATCCCTCCAGGTTCATAAAAAGATGATTACAAAAGCATTTCATTCATTTTACCTCTCTAATGTTTTAAAGGATTGGATTATATCCTTCACATGGCACCATAGGAAGTACACCTGAAAAAGAACATGAATAAAATACAATTGGTCATTTAAAAATAATAATATGTTTTCTAGCTTAGAAGAATGTACATGAGTTACTGGCTAAGTTTATGTACAGACAACATGTGGTCGGGGCATCTCCTCATTCATTTGGTTCTAGTCATGCTGTAGATCCATCATTATTCTGCCATTTCTGTAATCTCTGCTTATACATTTTTTCTCTATCACCCCTGCCCCCAAAATTTAATTTCTAGGCTAAACATGTATTGGATGATAGTTCTCTTCCCCCTTCCATAGCATAATGTCGGAATAGTGTTGTTCTGCTGATTGACTAAATCATCCTGATGCTTTCCCCATTCTATGCCCTCCTGAAGTTTTGGACTTTTGTTCTCATCTTCTCTGACTACTGATCATGTTGGCTGGAACTGATGGTTTGAAGAATAACATATTGGGTAAAGCAGCCCTACCCACATTCTATTACCATGAGCTGTATATGTAAAGTAATCTCTACTTGGAGGCCTGCAGTTATTTTATGTGTATTAAAAAAGAGTCTTCTACAAAATAGATTGTTATAAAGGCCATGCTATACTGTTGAACTGTATAATTTTCAGCAATAAATGCATTCTCTATGTTTCCTGGTGCCAAGGCACATGTTCCACATTTCAAAGGCACACATGCATGCACAATACAGTACTGAGGTACTTACATACACACCAAATCCTCTCTCATCCTCCCCTAGACAGGAAAGTCTAGTGATAATAAGTGATAATAGGAAACATTTACTCAGGTTTTCTGAATGTCGGTCTATTTGGATGGAAATTGCTAAGCTTTGTAATAGTGCATGCCTGCTTTATACAGGCTCTTTATGGATAGATTTGCATGTAAAGCTCCAGGCTTTGAAATTATCATAGGAGTACAACAACTTTCTCTTGCATATGTGTATGCATTCAGACATTACAGAGAAAGGCCCTCACATGCATACAAAGTACTGAGCGAGATACACAAGTATTGAGCCTTTCCCAGAAAAAAATGAGCTAGGAAGCTGTAACTGCCACACTATTCTACATATTCCCTCAGGAAGTCAATGCACTTGCGACATCTGTCGTGCAGCTTCTTAAGTCCTTGCAAATAAAATTCTTCCAACTGCTGCTGTAACCACTCATTTGCAGCATTAGTTGCCTCCAGAAAAAAATCGTTGTCCCTTTAGGTATTTTTTGAGTTTGGGGAACAGATATCGGTCAGAAGGAGCCAGTCAGGAGAATAGGGTGGATGGGGCATCACTTGAAAGCCTAAAGATGTCAGTTATGCCATTGTTTCACCTGCATTGTCTGATGAGGCATTGTCATGCAACAGGATGACACCTTTGGAGAGCCTTCCTCAATGTTTTTCCTTGATATTTTGCTTCAACTTTGTCAATAAAGCACAGTAATATTTTGCATTGATGGTTGAACCCTGTTGGAGGTAGTCCACCAGCAGAAGTCCCTTCTTGTCCCAAAAAACTGTTGCCATTTGCTTCTGCACTGACCTTTGCACTCGGAACTTCTTTGGCCTGGGGGAACCACTGTGCCTCCATTCCTTAGTCTGTTCCTTTGTCTCAGGATCATAACAGTAGATCCATGTCTCATCACCAGTTACCAGTTTGCCCAGGAAATCTGACTCATTTCTTGCTAAATGTTCCAAAACAGCCACCGATGACTCCACACGTTTTCCTCTTTTGTTTGATTGTCAAAAGTTTGGAGATCCACTTTGCTGCCAGCTTTCTCATTTCCAAGTTGTTGTGGATAATGGCACCCACTCTCTCAAGTGATATTCTCAGATATATAGCAATACTTTTGGCTGATATTTGGCAGCTCTCCATGATCATGTCATGGATGGCTTTCACATTTGCAGGCACAGAGACAGAAACAGGCCTTCCACTGGGTTTTTCAAGTTCAACACCGAAATGACCAGTTTTAAAATTGACAACCCAATGTTCAACTGTTGCATATGAAGGGCCGCTGTCACCCATAGTTTGTGACATTTCATCATGGAATCTGCTTTGCACCTTTCCCTTGGAGAAACAAGAACTTGATTATTGTCCTATGCTCTTCCACAGTGAACTTTTCTGGAGGTGCTGCCATGTTCACTTTGGACCTGAACATGATAAGTTAAAATCATAGGTAGTTGATTTTTGCACCATTGAATACAGACAAATTGGCCAATACAGTACACCCTGCAATTTATAGCTTCCTAGCTCAATTCTTTTTTTGGGGGGGAAAGGCTCAATACTTATCAGCACCCCCTCGTATAGAAGAATACTGTAGTTATTACTCTTGATGGAGAAAAGCACTCCTTACTAGATGGCTATCACATCCCAGCAGTTTCTATGCATCGAGGATCTCCATTTCTTCATGAAGCCTCAGCCGTAGTCCTGCTTCTTTTCTCTGCTAGTGACGTGGTGGCGCTGTGGGCTAAACTGCAGAAGCCTGTGCTGCAGGGTCAGAAGACCAAGCAGTCGTAAGATCGAATCCACGTGACGGAGTCAGCGCCCGTCGCTTGTCCCAGCTCCTGCCAACCTAGCGGTTCGAAAGCATGCAAATGCGAGTAGATAAATAGGGACCACCGCGGTGGGAAGGTAACAGTGTTCCGTGTCTAAGTCGCACTGGCCATGTGACCACGGGAGATTGTCTTCGGACAAAACGCTGGCTCTATGGCTTGGAAACAGGGATGAGCCCCCTAGAGTCGAACATGACTGGACAAAAATTGTCAAGGGGAACCTTTATTAGTGACAGTGGCATATGTCCTTTTATGCACATATATCATGATGATGCTTTTGTGGTAGCAGAGGGGAAAGCCAGATCATTCTCCTTGCTGATGTCACAATGTGTTACATCATGGACTGGGATTTGATGGCCACAAAAGCACAGATCAGAAGATTTCTGGTTTAATCCCATAAACTGGTGTAACGGCTTTTAGCATTAAGTTGAAAGACAGGATCGCTACTACCATTAATTCAAGTGCATCTAGTACTACAAGTACTGTAAGGTCAACGAAAATAATTTTATGTATTACATGCAACCAACCTGATTACTCCCATTACATTTACTTTATATCCAGATATGTACTCCATAATTCATTTTGTTTGATCTTTTTAAAACAGGAAAATAAACAAACAGCTGAGATGGTTGTTGTAGGCTTTTCGGGCTGTTTGGCTGTGTTCTGAGGGTTTTTCTTCTTAATGTTTAGCCAGTCTCTGTGGCATCTTCAGAGGACAGGAGTCAGAACTCTGTCTGTACTCATAATATAAACAGCTAAGACTGAAAAACTGTGGCAAGCAGTAGAGTTACAGAAACAGTTCTGAGGGAAAACAGAAAGTCTTTGTTCAGTATTTCTATTTCAGTCCCAAATCAATAATTCTCTTTGCTGCAGGTTTTTGGATCCTGCTCTCCACTGTGATGTTTAAGTATTTTTTTAAAATTTTTATTTTATACAAAAAAATACACACAAAAAGACACACATAACAACAAAAATACAAAAAAAAAATACAAGTAATAGTGCTTATTATAAACTAAATTCTAACGTGCACCCCATACCCACGGGACTCTATTTACTATAATAATTTTTTTTACATATTACCTCTCCAAAATTGTATTGAGTATTCTTTAGAGGCTTTCCCCCTTCCTTTCACTAACACAAATTCCACAAATTTACCCCAAATATCATAGAAATTGTTAGAACCTATTTCCCCTCTTTTTATTTTAAGTTCCATAGTCAATTTATCATTTAATGCAATGCCCCATACTTCACAATACCAGTCTTCAATTTTAATATCATTCTTGTCTTTCCAAAATCTTGCTATTAATATTCTAGCACCTGTCATAAAATTAGTGATTAATTCTTTCGAGTGATGGTCCAAATCTGTGTTATCAAAAATTGACAATAAAGCAATTTTGGCATTAAAATCAATATCTTTACAAAATATATCACACATTTCCTTAAAATCAATTCCCAAAATTTCTTAACCACTTTACATTCCCACCACATATGAAAATACGTACCAATTTCCTCATCACATTTCCAACATGCTTTGGGGTATGTTGGATTTATTATACTCAATTTTACAGGAGTCAAATACCACCTTAGACAGATTTTTTAAAAAATTTCCTTTATTCTTGTTGACATTAATCTGATTTATTGAACTTCTCTTTACTATATTAAACAAGTATCCTTCAACATTTCCATTTATTTCTGAAGATTCCATCTCCCACCAAATTAATTTTTCTTTATTGTATATAATATCTCCAATAACTCTTAATTGATTTGCTATATAATAATTTTTAACATTGGGCATACCTAAACCTCCTTTTTTTGAGCCTTATACCAATATCTTTTATTTATTCTAGATTTT